AATCAATGAATCAAACAATGAACCAATCAGTCAAATCAATCAACCAATCAATCAATCAATCAATCAATGAAGCAAGGAGTCAGTGAATCAATGAAGCAACGAAGCAATGAATCAATGACCCAAGGAGTCAATGAAACAATGAACCAATGAAACTGTAATCAAGAAATCAACGAGTCAATAAAATCAAAGAATGAATAAATCAGTGGGTCAACGACTCAATGAATCAGCGAATCAACCAATCAACGAGTCAGTGAATCAACGAATCAACGAATCAATCAACCAATGAACCAATGAAACAGTGAATCAATGCACCATTGAATCAATGGATCAGCGAATGAACGAATGAACGAAGGAATGAACGAATGAACTGAAGGATGGGTGGATGGGTGAATGGATTGACGGATGTGTGGATGGACGGGCACATGGATGGATGGATGACTGGGCTGTTTTCCTTGTGAGGTACTTCGTCACTGAGGGACCTCTTCGCTGAGGCACCTTTTCTCTCAGCCACTTCCTCTCCACTTAGCTGGTCTACTTCTGCTCTGACCTGCCTCGCAGCTAGCTCTTCTGTAGCTTCTGCAACCGAATTCTTCTCTTCGCGCAGCTTGTTACAATGCATTTAGAAACCTCCAGCTGCAATCCCACATAGCACAAGAGTAGCGCTATGGTCAACAACTACCTGTCATGCAGCCGTTAGTTACACCTCGTTTGCAACCCCGCTTGCCAGGAGCGTTGCAACATCACTGGTACTTTCCTGCGCGCAGCGGTGCAAATGCGTTTTTGTCACGGCCAGTTGCAAACCCGTATGGCAGGAGCGTCTCGCCAAATTGACCAACGTTCGCGCAGCGCTGACAATGAGGACTCGACCGCGCAAATCCGGGGCTGCTCCCAAAATGCCCTGGCGCCTTCAATTTGTTTATAGTTTTTTAAGCCTGTCGAAGTGCAAATCGAGCTCTCGCTAGGGTCCTGTGTGCGCTTTTTGTCGACAAATTTACCAGTTCGAGCCCCGCAACCGCGGAAAGCGAGACCCTCCTTCGGCGAATTCGCGCGAATTCCCAGCGAATCCGTGCACTGCTGCTTATCGACATCGACGGACCCATGTGGATTCCTAGGGTATCCGTGCAATCCTGCGTGGCGAGGTCGAAGGATCCATGTGAATTCCTAGGGTATCCGCGCGCTCCTTTTTGTGGAGATTGCAGAATCCTTACGTTATACGTGCAGTCCTGCTTGTAGAGGTGGCACGATCATGTGAACTGCTTGGCAGAATCTTTGGAATGGTTGCGCCAAAGTTGCGACGATGAGGTTTTGATGGTTTTTCTCGTTCTTGGCGCCTTTCATTTTCCCTTATCTGTTTTAAACAAGCTTCAAGATCGGATTTTTCCGGCTTCGAGATGATCTGAGAGTGAGCCGCGAAGAGCTGAGCTGAGGTGAGAAGAGCTGACAAGAGGTGAGAAGAACTGAGATGAGCTGAGAAGATGTGAGAAGAGCCGAGAAAAGCTTAGAAGATGTGAGACGAGGAGAGAAGAGATGAGAAGACATGAGATGAGCTGTTATGAGCTGCGAAGAGCTGAGAAGAGTTGAGAAGAGCGGGGAGATTTTGAGAAGAGCTGAGACGAGATGAGATGGGATGAGTCGAGACGACCTGGCATGAGAAGAGCATTGAAGAGCTGAGAAGAACTGAGTTGAGACGAGCTGCGTAGAATGGAGAAGCTGAAGAAGAGTTCAAAAGAGAAGAAGTCAGATGAGCTGAGAGGAGATGGGAAAATCACAGGTGACACTGGAAGAGATGAGAGCAGCTGTGATCACCTGAGAAGAGTAGACAAGAGGAGAGATGAGATGAGGTGAAAGAAGCTGAGAAGACACGACGTGAGACGAGATGAGATGAGATGGGATGACACAGACCGCGGTGACAATGGGATGCAATGAGCACTGCCCAAGAGAAGCTGCGACGCAATGAGGTCAGGTGAAATGAGAAAGATCCGACCTTGAAAGGAGATGGCACCGGAATGAAAAGTCGAGATTGCTGCTGCGAAGCACAGGAGGCTTGCCCGCACCCTATAGACACATTCTTTGCTCCGCTCGATAGGCTGCAGGTTCTACCGTGTTTTGGAGGGGTCTTTTTAGAGCCTACGTCTCCCTGTGCCGCCTCAACTTTTTGTATGTGTCACCTTTACTTTTTATTTGTGTCACCTTCGTTTTTTATTTGTGGCACCTTAACTTTTACCTGCGTCACCTTAACTTTTACCTTTGTCACTGTTTGGTGGGGGATCTTCGGGGGTTCTAAAATGACCCCAAAATGAGCCAATTTATGCCACCTTAAGTCCGGGATTTAAGGTGACGTGACACAAAGTCCCAAAAGTTAAGGTGACACAAACCCAAAAGTTAAGGTAACGCAAACACAAAGTTAAGGTAACACAGGGGTCGAAAGAAAACGTGTTAGAGCAACATACTAAGCTACAGGCGTTTCAATGTGAAATTTCCGCCCCCAGCTTGCCCGGGCACTACTTGTATGTGATGTTGAAGGGTATGCCTTGAAGAAGTCAAGGTGATGAAAACAAAATCCGACGCTTGTAACGCAAGCGCGAACGTGACAAGTCGACAAGATTCGACAAGTGTTTAGAGTAGTGCCCCGGGAAATGGACTGAGCATGGTAGAGTTGGGGTTTCAGCCTATTCGATCAGTGTCGCCAGACGTTGACCCGAAAACTTTACCCTGTCCTAAGATTGTGGGTTTTCAATTGGTCAGGTGGGCCCTCTTGGAAACCTGTCTTTCCAGCATGAACTCGACACGGTTGTCCGGATTTGTGACACAATACGAGTCCTGCCAGGCACACCATCAAAGGCCGGTCCCGTTTATTTGTCAGGTAGGCTTTGAAAGCGTGTTGTCAATTGTCAATGGGCCAATGTCATGATTTCCTTGGGCCCCCTGGTTCCTCATATTTTGCGCATAGCATGTGCTTTGCCAATGCAAAACAATTCTGTCACCTTGAGCCTGTGCCTCTTGCGTCTATCATTTGGTCTCATGCACATGCAGGCACAAGGTGGGCTAGAGACAAGACGCCTCCTGGCGTCCTTCTTCAGTGATGCTGACCTGGCTCCACCAGGCACCGTCAGATAGCGATGCCCGGATCTGAACAACTCACAAAACGGTTCTTGCCGTGGCAGGCTGCCACAGTGCTACAATGAACCTCACTGCAGTATTTGCGGTTGTGGATTGCCATGTCCTCTGTGAATTCGAAACGGTTGCCTTTGAGTGTTCCAGAGGTGGTTTGCCGCCTCCAAATGGATGGGGTGAAGGCAATGATTCTCCTTGCCCGGACCTTTGTGCAGACCCTACCCAGGACAGGTCTGCTGCAACCAGCTGGACCACCCCATAATTTGGTTTATTCACAGTTTGTTTACAAGTCAAATGCTGGAAACTTGCCGAACCACCCCGCACCGGAACCTCCCCCAACTTGCCTGGAAACTGCACTGGACGCTGCGCCCAAAGTGTATTTGGGCAGAGACCCCGAAGCTACCGACGTTGCGGAAAAAGGGTGAAAGGATAAGTTGCAGTGATTGAGACCGCAAAATATGGACTTTGTATCTTCTAGTTGGTCTGAGTTTCAGGGCTGTTTTGTTAGGCCAAAGTCAAAGCTCCGGTTCATGAACTGCGCGGTGCCGAGGCCAGACCTGTGCGTGCACTGAAGACCACGGAAACGGAGGGGCCGAAGGGCGTCCAGATGAAGTTGGGACGTGCCTCGGTTGAAGCAAAGACCAAAGAGCTTTTGCAGCGTCCTGCGATCAGCTTCTTTCCAAGCTCTTCAGGTCCAAACATGCTGCAACTAACTATGTGTTTGCTTGCATTCGTTACGCAGGGACATCTACTCGAAGATGGTCTTCCCAAACGTGCCACACCATTCGTTCTATCCGTCCGAGGCTTACATTCCCAGCCAAACTTGCAGCCCCTTTTTGAGCTTCAGAGCTTTTGCAGCAGGGCTTTTGCGTATTACCTAGTTGAATTTTAGCTGTGAAAGCTGGCAGTGTAAGGAGGGGCGTGGCTTCTCTTGCCCCACGGTCTTCTATTTGTAGCTTGAAGATTTCTTCATCTTTTCATCATCCTACTACAATGTACATGTTATGTTCAGCAAAAATGCTCGCGTTGTCTTTGCACGCATTTTATATTCTCATTTTTGAGGCACCGCAGGGGCTACAAGATCAACCACCTTCGCATCTATGCCTTGTTTTTCGCTGGGCTTGGTACGCCTTCGGGCCTTGAGGGAACTACATTAGTTTTTGCGAGCGAGGTCGTTCTGGGGATCAGAAGGGTCAGCATTCACATATGTGGTGGTGCGCACGGCCTGTGCATTTGGATTTTGGATCGTTGAACGTGCTCGCCTTTCTTCGGAGGCTGTGGATATGCAGCAGCTAGCTCCGCAACCCGCAAAGAGAAGCAGGACTGCATACAGAAGTTTGTTGCCGAGAGCCCAGAGCCGGGCACAAGCAGCAGCATGATTGCATTATTTGTCCCGCGTGAAATTTCCCGAAAAAAATCCGATAGATTTGGTGTCTTTGCGTTTCAAAGGAGCTCCGTGAAGGCGAAGAAGTGGCAGGAACTGAGAACTAATTGGCCGCAAGGGAGACTTGGAGTCAGAAAGGCTCATTCCAGCTTGGCAGCTTCCTGTGTGTTGCACAGCTTGAGCTTCCATGGCCGGGCCACGTGAAAGCTGCAAAACATGAGCAAGACATTGAGGGATGTCGAAAGTTCATAAGGGATCAAGATGATAGTCTTCAGCGAGCGGACCAGCGTCAACGAGTGTTTTTGGCAGCAAGTTGGAAGGTTGCCTGCTTCTTCTGGATCGATCAGACCTTGGCACGGTCCTCACGATTAGAAATCATGCGCGCACATACTGCTCAGACAAGGAAACGCATTTACATACATGTGCGACTTACAACATCTTACAACCCTTCGCGCAGCACAATCAGACTTTTGATTTTTTTGCCTCAAGCGATGTGCTCGCCTCAAGTGTACAGATATATTTTCCGGACTCTCATGCCATGTCGGATCCGTATGACGTGAAGCCTGGAAAGCAAGGCATCTGAAAAGTGAAGCTCAACTGACAGTTTGTTCAAACTGCACGGAACACTTTGGAGAAAGCATTGCTTGTTTGTGTCTTTTGCCAGGACCAGCGGGGGGAAATGTCAACAAGGCCCTGTGCTTAAACAGTGCCTGATTGGCAGATGACCTAGCAGTGCCATCTACTTTCCCATGTGTCCATATGTATGCTGTGTGTTCTTTCACTCTTCCTTTGCCGAGCCAAATTCTTGAGCTGAAGTTGAGGCTGCTCCTCCCAGACCCATTGGCTATGCCAGACGGTGGGACCATGGCAAACCATTGGACGACCCCGTGAGGGGCCTGGATTGTGACACCGAATTTTGGCACTTTGCAAGATTATCCAAAAATATGATCGCCACATAATTTCACAGCTTCGAAACGACAGGGCAATGGGCACAGCCATCTCTCGGCCAAGACCGGTGTTGGAGGTCTACAAGACAAAGACCATACCAGCAGCGCTGCTTCCAGTCTTCCCCCAGGAGGGCTCAGGGCTCATGGAATGCCACGGCGGGTTGCGTGGCTCGTCTCCACCGCAATTTCGGATACCTTGTTGCAAAAATGCTCAAAGTGGTTGCCGTAAGTAGATGCACATGTGGGTTTTCGTGCTTGTGTATATAGCGCCTTCCTAAACGGCCTCCAACGATATAACGAAAGGAGTCTGAGGTTCATCAAATCCCATCAACCTAAGTCACCAGCCATGCCCAGCTGCTGATTCAGTCAGTCACTTTTGATATATCTCGATATGTTTCACACGAGTCAGAGCTGCCGCGGCAGGACTGGAGGTCTGCCGGACGCGCGCTGCTATGCCTGGGCATGGCTGCTATTGAGGGCTTCCGATTGAGGCCGAAGAAGCGCTTATATAAAGGGGTTGCTCCATCAACATACATCAACCTGCACCCCAGACATGTCACATACTAGTTCGATTCAGCCAAAGACTTTCTCGTGATTTTTGCTACGCGTGCCCCGTTGCGTTACCGTCAGGTCCAAGGGTGCAGTGCTGAAATGGCAAAAGGCAACGGCCTTCCAAACCAGACATGGTTGTGACACGCGCTTTGCACAGCATGTGCATGGGCGTCTTCATAGCTTCCACGTTTATCTGCAGCGGCGGTATATATGTACAATTAGAGATTCATTTTCAGGTATACAGGCATAGGTATAGCAATTTACAAGAAAGCAAGACAGGGAGATGGATGTGTGAATCGAACAGATGGATGGATGGGTTATGATGGGTTGGCATATGGGCGTATGGGTAACTAGACGGGCAGGCAGACAGACAACATAGACAGAATAGGCAAAACACATCATATTTGGTCATATGTGTGTGTGTGGTAGATTGTTGAGCAGATGCGACCAATGGACCGATCTGCCAGTCGTGTACAGCTTCCCTGCCGATAAAGTGCACGGGACTGGGTAATTTGCAAATTTTGCAGATCGGCCCAACATTGTCCAAATGCACCGTTTCTGTCCAACATGGCGCAACATGGGCTCCACTTGGGGTCAACTTCAAGACCCCTTTGGGATCAACTTCGGCGCAGGTTGAGCTCCACAGGGAAAATGGGGTACGTAGCCGGCCATTTTCACTGCTATTTTCCACATTTTTTTGGCATCGAAGACGCCTCGTATTGAGCAATCCTTCCCCATCTTTCCCACATTGTGCTTACGTTGGGCCCAACTTGGTGCGAAGCTAGCGCTAAGTTGCGCAATGTTGTAGGACCTGGACGTCCACGTGCATCACATGGCTTCAATTTGGCGGCTATCGGTATCGATTTATGGGCCCGATTTCAGCCCAACATGACCAATTGGCTCCAGATAGCGCGACTTGGGCCCATGTTGGGACCAAGTTGGCCTAAGTTGCGCCCCTTTGGGGCGGCCAGAGGCAACACGGGCCAATTTCCAGACTCAATGCGAGGCCACGTTGCCCACACTGGGCCTGGCTTGGCCCCAAAACTTGCGTCCAAACGTGCTATGTTGCGCTGTGTTTGGCCCAAGCTGGAGCCAACTTGGGCGTAACGAGTTCGGCGCCCAAGGCCAAGGACGGCCAAGTTTCTCTGGTTGGGGCGAGTAGCCTTGGTTGGGCAAAGTAAGCCTGCTCCTTTCCTGTCTATCCAACCTTCCCAACACTTTGTCTCCCTTCTCTCCCTTCTTGTGCCTTTGACCGTCTCCCTTCTTGTCTCCCTGCTTCATTTCCTTCTTCAACACCCCCTTTTCTTCTTCATGTCCCCGGTTTATTATTCGGGGAAGGGGCCCTCAAGCTCCCGCCTCCAGGATTAAGAAAGGGGCGGAGGAACCGAAAAAACTAGACGACGGTTGGCCCGAGAGCGAAAAAGACGTTTTTCAAGCAGCTCTGAGTATGGTAGTCGTAAAAAATAGTCGGTGAATGGTTGGTGAATTTTATATGAGCTATGGAGGGATAAGTTGTGAAAAGTAAGATTGATTAAGAAGAGGATACATGTGACAACCCATGCATATGCATTGTGTTGCTTGGTAAAGGGCATCAATTGACACGTGTCTTGCAACCACAGAGAGACATAGATAGAGAGAAAGGGAGGGAGAGGGGGGAGAGAGAGAGAGAGAGGGAGAAATAAAGGGAGATAGAAAGAAAACATGAAAAATATAATGTCAGCAACAAAAGTGCACAGGAGGCTCGGTACCATGATGCTGCGAATGACATGTGTTATCTCATTTTACTATGGCCGGCGCATACCCAACAGAGCGCATTAGCCCATCACCTCTGTTGTCATATTCTGATGATAGCCCGAGCTATCGCCAGAACGTTGGCCTCAAGTTATGCGTATCTGTGTCCCCACCACCGGCCAACGTGGTGCCAGCCGCGTTGGAGCATGCTGTTTGGTAAGGACAAGCAGAAAGAGACAGCATGAAAAATGCAACGCGAGAACATGCCGATGGCAAGTAAATGATGTATATGGCACATTCTTCCCAATGAAACTTTCTAGCGCAGACGCCATCAAGTCGAAACAAACTCATGTTTCAGCAGGAATGTTGTGAATGACGTTGTAAAGTGAGCTGATGATGTGAATGACACTTTACTATAGATTTTTCAAAAAGATATATGAAAATGGCTCGGCACCACTCGATGTTATGTGACTTTGTTATAGACATTACCACGAAAGTACACAGAAAAGCTCGGTACCATGATGCTTTGAAATCGCAGTGAAACGTTGTGGCTCAGAAGTGCTAACCTTAGTGCATAGCACAGCGCTGGACACATTCCAGTAATTTGATTTACTTCAAGACCAAAAACACCCATCAAAAACCCAGGCCGGTACCAAACTGGCGCAAGAGTCACCTCAGAAATTTCAGATTGCACGATCATGCATAGTTGTGCACTCATGCCAAGATGAGATCGTCTGTCATCGAGTTGGATCACACACTTGCTCAGAACACTTTTCAACTTTTGAACTGCTGGTCGCACTAATGAGTTCACATGTTCGTCACGAACAGTCTTTACAAACAAACAGCAGTTGGCTACTGATCTTGCAGATTCGCCCCGAACAGTTTCTCCAGACGAACAGTGGTGCCCGCCGCACTGAGTTTGATGTGCCACTCGGTACGCAAACTTTCCAGCTTCCACAAAGCCTCCAAGACATAGGAGCGATTGTGCCAAGGGCGCAAGGAAGGTCTTTTCTCAAGCAGCAACTGGACGGCATCCTCTGCAGAGTAGTTGTAACCCACGACGAGCCAAGCACACAAAACCCCAGCGCTTCGATTGATGCCTCCAAAGCAATGGAAGAGCACGTGCATGGATTCGCCCCTGGTCACTGCCAGCATGGATTGTTTCCAGAGTTGGCCACAGACACTTTTCCACTGTTCCAAACAAGACTACCAAGTCAGGGATTCGTTCATCCCAACCGTGCGGCGGCGTCCATGTCGTGTCCTCCAACTGACACTTGATGTGAGAGACTTTTTCTTGCTGGAAGTGCCGCGTCCAATCCTTCGGGGCGCCTTGAATCTTCATTTCATTTGCGCACATGGTCACGACCACGGTGACCTTCACCAACAGAGTCTTCAAAATGTCTTCCAAGCTACACGCCGCTTTGATGCTTCCAAGCAACACCGCGCTCGATCCGTAGGTTTGTAGATCACGGCAGCGTCCAACGGCCACTGCTCTATGGACTTGAAACTGCAGGGTGCTGCCAGGTAATGTGGCCCAGGTCATTCCAACATTCTTTGTCGGCGTAAGCCCTCCTGATATCCTCTTCTCGCACCGCTCTCCACTCGCGAGCGCTGGTGGTCATGGCGGCAACTGTGACTTAACAGTCCCTACAGAAATACAAAGTTGGAAGTATGAAACTATGCAATAGGCTTTTTTCATACAAGCTTGAACACGATGCAAGCCATTTGACAGATTTGAGCCTACATTCTGAGCCATGCGAACTAAAGCAATGCAAGCGCAATGAAAGGACAAAACTACCTCCCGTGGCAACGAAGTACAGGTGCACAACTACAAGTCATTGTTTCAATGTACAGGTACAGCACGCAACGATGCTTTCAACCACAGGCGCGCTAAGGTCCAGCTGCAAATTTGCATGTTTGGGTCCAAGCTGATTACCAGGTTGAATGACCACGATTACCATCACGCTGTCGATGTCACATGCTTTCTCTTCTTGCTATGTAAATTCCCACACAAGTTACCAAAAAAGCTCGGTACCATGATGCTGTGTATGACAGATGGCACACTACTTTACTTTGGAAAAGTCCACAAAAGTACACAAAAACACTCGATGCCATGATGCTGTGACCGACATATATTCTGTGAATTTATTATGTACCTTTCGACGCCGTCATACAGTGGACAGCACACGTTATCTCATTTTACTGTGAAAATTCACCCGCACACACTTGCTCAGAAACATCTTATCGAATTAATGATGTGGAATGCATCGTATGTGCAAAAACACTTCAGGTAAACCTGACAGGAGCGGTTGGATGACCAGAAATGAGAAACTCTGTGAGGAAATCTTTCCATGTCCTTGCTAGAAGAATCAAATCGTTCTGATGCAGCGCCTTCATCTTCTATTGACAGTGGAAAATCAGATTTCGACAACCGTGCAGAAAGGAAATGAGGATCAAATCGACGTGCCGGTTCTAGGCTTAGCTGGATGCCATCAGCGAAAGTAAATGAGGTTGTTAAAGTGATCTTGCAAGCTATGTCCCTGACATCCATGCCAAGATCTGCAGGTACAGGTGAATGATCAGCTCACCCTTCCCCCATCATACCATAGCTTCGTTGCGTCAGGTAGGTATGATGGGCCTGACGCCCCTGCTTGATTTCGGAAAATACCAAGGTAGAAGTTTTACATCTATTCAGATGTTCCACACACACACTTGCTCAGAAATATCTTATCGAATTACTGTTGTGGAGTGCATCGGGCGTGCACAAACAATCCCCTAAAGTCTGACAGGAGAAAAAAGGTTGATCCATCGTGAGATTCAGTTCGAAGTATGCTTTCTACGTCCTTGCTCTGAGGAAGGTTCCGATGTAGCCGGACCATACATAGTTGGTCGAAAGTAATTCCAGATTGCGACAACAGTGCAGTGAAAAGAAATTTCAAATGAACGACATGGAGGTTCTTGGATTGAGCCTCTTCCCATTTCTGAAAAATTGGCAGGTACGCCACGGTGATCAGCCGTGATATCACAAGCAGCGGATAGGTGTCTTCGTTGGCACCTGACCTATCCATGCTCCAGGTGCCCCCTGCAAACATAATGTAGAAACAAGAAAAACAAGAACCAGCAACCAAAAGAAGTTTTACATCTTTGCAGATGGTTCACACACACGCCTCGCTGCCGCGAGGCTTTTGCTCAGATTCGCAAGCGGTGAATGCTATTATCCGATCCCTGAAGCGGAAATGGCTTCAAAATACAGGGAAGAATCATCAATTGAATTAATCCTAAAGCTCACAGGCCCTCGTCAGGTAATGCCTCCATGCGACGTGCTTGGTTCGACAAAGTCCGTGTAGATTCCGCCAAATGACTGGCAAGGTGAGCCAA